GCTCACCGGGATTTCCCACCTCAATCCTGCTCTCTGGCATCCCCCCTACTCACTTGGACGCCTCACAGCTTTAATAGCTGAGATCGACTTCAACTCCCCCCAAGACGCCCGCGCCAAGCGTTCTGCCCGCATGATGTCGCCTTTCCCGCCATCCCTAACATCCAAAACCAATCGGCGATAGGGTGAGTTCAGAATCTCAGCACATTGACTACTAACGCATTCCTGAACATCGACTATCGAATCACCTCGAGTTCCCAGCATGCGGGGTGTGCAGCGTGAGCACATTGCTGCAACGTGCTGCAACGCGACACCCTCAAATGCTGTTTGTTTGACTCCCTCTATGCCTCTCTTCGACTTCTTTCTAATTCCTCGATGCGATCCGCTTCACCGACTAATCCGAGAATCTTCGTCATCCCGATCGCCCCTGCCGCTCACACATACCCTCCAACCTTCTATTCTATCAGAACACTAGCTTCTCGAAAGCCTTCTCGCTAAGAATAGTCAGCAAACTCATGGGAACGCTTACACTTTCCCAGCCCACCGACGGGGTAGTGGTGCCGAATCGAGATTCCGCCTCTGAATATACTCCCCCAGACATAGCCATGGCGTCCCATTGACAAGACTGGCGTACCCGGTTGTGCGCCCCCAATCGTCTGGTCCAACTAATCGAGCTGCCAGTCTTTCTTGTCTACTGACCACCTCTTCGTCTCTCCCATCGGCAGAGAGCTCAGATATCGATGATGATCCATTGCAATGTGCTCTATAACGCCTACCTAGGAGTGCTAGGTAAGCAATGACGGGTTTAACTCGCTTACCTTGCTCAGTCGAGTAGACTGTTCGTCCAAAGCACAAAGCACTGTCTTTCTCTGCCCAATGGTTTCAGCGCCGGAATGAATGAAGCGAGAGTAATTCGCGGCCCTGCCTGCTATCAGTCCAAAAATTCCACGGGACGCCATCCCAAACATGCCAGAAGCTCAGACGGCGAGAGTTTTCCGATTAGAATTAGCCCCCTCCTTTGCCGCAACCCCAGACAACCTTAACGACTCATGCTACTGCATGTCTCTCTGTCTCTGAAAGTCAGACTTTAGAGCAGCCGCTGCGCCGGCGGTTGGGAGAAAGCCTCAATTACCCCAGATCCATCCTTGGCCCCGGCTTCATGCCACAGACCGTCAGACAGACCCAGCTCCGGCTTCTCTTCCGCCTACAAGGTTGTGGGATCCTGCTGGATCGTCAAGTCAGCTGGCCGTAAAAGCACGGTCTTGGTCCCCCCCCCCCCCCCCCAAAAAAAAAAAAAAAAAAAAAAAAAAAAACCTTCTCAGTGCGTTTGTTCTGCCAATCTTAGCTCAACGCCGACTCGAACTCCCAGTTCTTTCTCATTGTTTCTCTTTTGGACATGACGTTCCCGTCCACTTTGAGAGGCGGCAGGCTGGCAAGGTCCCGCAACCGCTAGGTGTCTCGAACCTCAGTCTCTGTGAGAAGATGGGATGACTAAAGACGCCTCCCGCGATCTACAGAGGCGGTCAGTTCTGCTGATCGACGTCGAGCGGAGTGGACGTGGGCGGGTGACCTGGTGGCTGGGAGGCACAGAGGTCTCCTTGCCCAGCCTGTCATTCTCTGAATTGACTTTTCAGACAGTATTTGCATATCCCAGAAATTAGAACGGTTCTAGCGACCCTGTCAGTCACTGTGAGGTTACGGGCCGGAAGAGTTCGTTCAGATTCAATCTGTCCCTGTTTAACTCGCTACCGAAGGCCAATCCGGGTACAAGGTACCTTGTGCTTGTTAGCTGCGGATGTGTAGTAGGCAGTGCAAACTTTCCGAGCTGGGTTCTCCATGGATGTTTCTCTCACATATTAGCAGTCTATTATCAGTGGGAGATACTATAGGCATGTCTCAGAGTTTCTCAAGTTCCGCGTCTGTCTCATGGCCAAACGCTCGAGACGACACTACTACCTTACTTTGATGACTTTATGGCCCGCATTACTGCCGTACTTGTGAGCACACCAGTTCCCGGAGGCATCGATAATTTCTTCTCTCAAGAGAGCGATGTGTGTTATACCATTCTCTCGATAATAGCAGCAGCTACCTACTAGAGTGCCACGCACAGGTATACTAGTGAAGTAGGACAGATGACATACCCCAGATATGGGGTTTAAGAACAGATGGCTTGTTCTGAGACAGTTGTATAGGTATGTCTAATATTCTTTGGTATATTTGAGTATGCCATGGCTCAAGTTCTGTAACTCCATCCCAAATGCCATGAGATCGCTCAGCCACTTCGAGTATGCGGTGGACTGAGAGCAGGAATGTGGTCAAGCGCCGTTGATCTACATTCTATGTTAGTGTGACTAGTTCCAATTGAATGGGGGGCTTTTCAGGTGGCTTTTCGTCGATGAGACATCAAGCTAGGTAGGTGTTGCCTCAGCTCCAAATCCATCAAGACATCTCAGAAGACGTGGTCCTATCTTGGGTGCTTGGTTGGGTGGCAGCTGTGAGTCGGCAGCCTGATTACCTACCCCGCAAAACGATCCAAAGTAGAGGCGAGCAGGCAAGCTGAGCCATACTCGCGGTTGGTGAAAGTCATTGTCACAGCCGCAAAACGGGTCGGCGAAGAGAGAGGAATTCGCACGCATTGATAATGTCTTCATCTGGGCACTCCTCTTGACGAAAGTAACTGACAAAGGTAGTCACTCAGCCACATGAGAAGCACCAAATCCGGCCCATGAGCCTGAACCCCGCCCCCGAGACTGTCCAATCGGCGGATGGGGCCGGACCCAAGCCCCGCCAAAACGCCGTGATCCGTTCCCCGGCGACGTGATGGCCGTTCGGGCCCCGCCCCGAGTGGACTCGAAACGTGGCCGACGGTGAATACTCGAGGCCCGGCTTCCATGCTGATGCTGTGAAACTAGTCGTTCGACGACAGAGACCCGCCCGTCTGGTGAAGCGGCCTTGCACGGGTACAGTGCCGGAAGGAGAAAGCTTTTACGTTAAGGGGGGCCTCGACGTTTGCGCGGCTGGAAAGCAAGTGACCTCGCTCTATGAGAATTAAGAATGGAAGTGAACTCGAGAAGGATAGGATTAATGGTGGTCGAGGATACAGAACAAGATGCCACCTCACATTGCTGCAATTGTTTCTGGGGAGCCGGGGGGGGGAGCGGCGATGGAGTGTCTGGAAATGACCTTTTTGGGCTCGATAGGGGCTGAATCGGGGTAGAAAAGGGGGCTGCAGTGAGCAGTCTGCGCAGATGCAGAAATAAAGGCAGATACAGAGGCAAGTCTATCCAAAGCAAACTAAAGCTCCGATGGCCGCCGGGATATCGTCGTCGGAAGAGACGCTTGTCGCTCTCAGGATACGGCGCCTGGACTCTCAAGGTTTCGATAGCCGTCGACACGCCCTTTTGCCGCTAAGGGTGTTGGTACTTTCCCTGGTGACTTCTGGGGCAGTCAGGCGGTCCTGGATTGACTTCTATCGCAGATTACGGATTTACTACACTTTGAACGGCGAACGAGGTTGTCTCGGCCGATACGCTAGTTTCTTCAAGTCGAGCCTACCCAAAGGATTGTCTGACACCCATCAACATCACGTGGATCATGCGGGCAAGGATGACAAGACCATCTTGTATGAGACGGTTGCTTGGTAGTGGTGATAGTTTACGTCTCGAGATAAGGATTGGCAATGATGGTTGGATGCCCCGCTTGGCGGACGCGGCTCTGCTTCCAAGGTGCTTATCTAGCGTGGGGTGTTTGATACAAAATGGGATGGTGTTGCATGTGAAAGACCACCATGGCTGTCCACATTTATATCTGATATCTATAGCCTGGGGCTTGTCATCTAGACATGTCTGTTTCTCGCAAGATGTAGCCCAGCATGCATTCACACCAAGGACTTCTGGAGAATACTCTATGAACAACGGCGGGAAACAACGAAACCACACCGAGCACGTTTGATAATGTCTCGTTGATACTCGAGAGACGATCAAGTCCACTTGCCAATGCAGATATCATGTAAGGGTTCCTTCGAAAGGCGCGGCATGTGATCCAGCAACATCTAATAGAACGCCGGGGCATTCAGGAAATGGGTACGTACGGTAAGCTCGAGGTGACACAGAAGCGGCAAGGCGATGATTCGACAACAAGATAAGACCATCAGCCTGTCTCGGCTTAACTGGACCGACGAGAATGAGCATGATCGTCCGTCATTAAGACGTAATATGAGGAGCTGTGGGAGCTGTGGTAGTAATCACACATGACAACATTGATACAACGAAACTTCCCTAGCTTTGTGCGAGGGAAGCAATCCTTGTGTGGTTCGTATTCGAATGGCCTAGTCCTGTTCGACTGGCCCCCTTGCAGAAGTGAGAAAACCAACGACGTTCATTAGTCAGTTGGAACTTAGGTATTCATTGACCAGCGGCAAAGTTAATTCCTGTGCAATGACTGCTGGCCAACACTTCAACGGTCATGATAGAAGGCTTGCCAGCATTGGAAATGAATGTGTGCCACAATATCTACGACTGCGTGGAACGGGACGGAGCCTTGCTGTCATAAAATATTCACCCATATCTTGAGTATAAGGAAGTCTCTGCGTGCGCCCTCGTCACGAAGCTTTTGCACAAGAGTGTTGCGTAGTCGCAACTGTCGTGATGGCCCGAATAGCGAACCAATATCAATGCCCGGCATCTGAGAATAGTCGTCTCTTTCCCGTTAGAACAAGCGTAGAAGTCATCAGGGAATCAGACGAAAGCAGCAGGATTGATTGATAAGTTTTAATTACATTATGGAAAGGCCATTGCAGAGCGCTTTCCGTAATATGGCCGCTCCAAAGGGGAGGAGTGACGTGACTGCCTCAAACACTACCTTATGCGGCACTTTCCATCTCCTGATACTGTGGCCGACCTGTTTATCCGTCACGCGTATACTGACGGAGTACATGCTGTTTCCAATCTTCACTTTCCCAAGACGGTTCCCCGGCTTGGCCGTGAAAACCGTGTCAAAGAGCTTCAAGTCATTGAAGCCCACTCGGCCTTCTTCACATCCAGCCATTCCCCCTTTTCTACCCAGAGATTCTCTAGCCACTTTGCCAGCTTTTCGTCATCCGTCGGTAGAGTCTCGAGGGGAAACCTGCGAACATGGACGTGAAACTTGTATCCAAGTCGAGAGCTCAACCCGGGCACGCTCAAAGTGTCCCACATGGTCGGCGCCGCATGGAAATCTTTTCCCCTCTGATACGCAATCGTCACATCGTACACGGCCTTCACGTGGGCCGCCTTCCTGAGGTGTTGGACGGTGGTAATGAATCCTTTCGTCCTAGGATACAGCAAATGCATAGGCTGCGGTCGACCCGACTCCTTGCACCAGACGATTGACTGCTCATACTTCTTCTGTGTGAAACGAGTGGCCTCGCTGAAGCTGATGAGCCCTATTTATCATCATCAGTAAGGTGTCCGCCCTGAACGGGAAAAACTATCAACTGATGCACTTACAGGTCGGCCACTGCCTATTGACGATACCCGAGAATGCCCTGTCAAGCTCATGCTTGTCTTTGGCCCAGTTACGACTCACCATGGGCATACCCATCGCCCATAGACCCCAACCAAGAAATGGAACTATCCGCAGCTGGATCTTGGCAAAGTAACGGCAACGGCCTAGCATCTCGGCTTTGATCGCGAGAGCTTGGATCATGTAAAAGTCCGCCCATCCGACGTGGTTGGCGACTACTACAGCCGACTCCCCGCGGGGAAGGGCATCGCCGGAAAATGTAATGTTGGCGCCATTATATCTTTCAAAGATGATCTGGATCCAGTACCAAACTGTCTCGGCGATCCGTGACGAGGAGTTGTACACGAAGTCCGGAGCGAGCCATTTCAGCGGGAGCTGGAGTGAGATGGCGGTATCTGCCAAAAGCAACCAAAGAACCCACGGAGCTAGAATGGCAGCTCCTCGGAAGTGAGTGAGCACGTTGCCGTGGCCAGCCATGGCCGTTGAGTATTCAATCGTCAAAGCTCACTCTAGTGGAATCCGAGACCGAGGCGTAAGAAGATGAATCGATGCACGAAAATGATGACACTCTGAGTTCTTTCGCAACTGGCGACGTCCCAAAAGAAAAGATTAAGGTTGGCCGTCTAGTGAGCGAGCCGAAGCGCGGCAAACCGATCTACAACCCAAGACACCCTGCCCTAGACCAAGGGATGTTTCGAAAGGGAGCCGCGTGCGCGCGTGACCTTTAGGCCAGCAGATCAAGGGTGAAGGTTTCGAACGAGCGGGCGATGATCCGGGGTTCACTCGTCTCAAAGATGCGCGTTCCTCTTCGCGTTCAGTGGATGAGCACAATTACAGCCGTATTCCTTGCTGCCAACGAGGAGGAAGCTCTGAAGTGTGGCAATCATGGGCTGAGGATCTTCTCACAGGATATGATTGCAACAGTATGGGAATCGGGGAAAAGGAAACACGATGCTACTGTGGCTGGCTTCTGTTAGCAGAGACGTCCGGTCCCGCCCAAGTTCCTAAACGGGTTAAAATGACGGCATGGACTTTTGGCAGAGGTCAATGATTGATCTCCGTGGGCCGACTGACAAACGGCGGGCTTAACTCAATTATGCGAGTGAGGAACCCCTCCAAACCACTCAAAGACAGGGATTTCACGTTCCTGGCCGTTAATCACATGGGCCGAGCCTGGAAGGTCTCGAAGGGACGAGTGAGACGTCCAAGTGCCAGCATTGAGGCACCCGAAAGCCCTACGACGTGCCGAATTTCATTCGACATAGGACGAGATGTGCACACTGGGCACACAGACAGAGGGGTGCTCGAGTGTCAAGGTTGGCTGCATATATAAGCAGTCGTATGTGCGATTTCAAAATGCTCAAAATAGGCCATGGAGTGTGAGGTCCAGTTAAGGGACTCTTGGCTTTTTTCCCGGCTCGTCCGATGTCGACGCCGCCATTGGACCGAGGTCTGTGTGGATGGGAGACTGGAGAGACGGGATTTACGCGCAGAGATTCGCAGGCTAGATGATTGCCTCGCAACAAGAAACTTTGGACGCGCCGCTGGCTAGCAGAATGCAAGCTCACACGTGTGCGTCTGCCATGGAGAAGTGTTGGTCTAGCAAGGGGTCAGAATTGTGACACGTTCCGTACGGACGTATGGGCTTCTACTTTTGTCTGGCGAGAGCTCTCGTGCATGGTAATCTGACGATTCCAAGATGAGCAATTCTGATAAGCGAGCAAACAAGCAAACATGCCCCTCGTCTACCACCAGGGGTCTCAGGGTCTGGGTCTGAGTTGGGGACTCGTGGTTGGAGTTTGGAGGACTGTCAGTCCTTTGGAGACGGAGCTGATGCCGGCGCTGGGAGGAGAACTGGAGCGTAGGTGGATGGGACGCCGAGTCAAGCAAGTCAAGCCACACGAAAGCATTCCAGGCAGACGAAGCAACAGTAGCAGCAAGGAGGGCCGAATGTCGCACCCGAGGCTCTCGATGCATGTCTCTACTGAGACTATCTACTCTTTCTTTGTCGGAAAGTGAATAGCGGAGAGGAATGAGGATAACGGTTGAGGCACCCGTGGACGAATATTCGCTCACAAATGCGATGTGAACTTGGCCTAGAACGGGAGCTGCGAATGGGAACCCCTCCATTCCTCCCCGCTTGTCCGGTGCAGCACTTTGTGCGCTCTGGCGGAACTTGGAAGCCTCTGAAGCCTCTCCTTTTCTCAGCCATACTCGGTCTGCCCACGGGCCGTTCGTTTGTACAAAGCCAAGCCGATACTGGGAGCATTCCATAGCTTGGGTACGTGGGTTCTAGACTAAATACTATGATCCAATATTACAGTACGGATACAGAGACAGAGACGTGAGAGAGACAGAGAGATGGGCCAGCCACGGGCACGCCGCTGCTGGTCTTCACTCAACCGCCAACGGATCGCAGGCTTAAGGGTCTAGACCAGGAACCGTCGCCCGCCGTCCACGGAAGGCGCCTTGCTTACCCCCCGCCTATGTCAGTACCGGCGCCAACACAAAATTCCAATATTTGTCACACGGTCAGTACTCGCTATGCCGCGTGCCGCTTCTCCTCGGCCTCACCATAGCTAGAGCTCGCCCCTGCAAGCTGCTCAAGTTGCTCTTCGACATAGCATAGCCCTATCCGGTGACGACTCTCGAGGGGGCTTCTGTTCGTCAGCTTCGTCAGACTGCCAGTCTAGCCGACGTTCTTTCTCTCGCGGTAAGGCAGACGAACTAAGGGGACAGAAGTGCGTGGAACCGCCGATGATTCCGAAAAAGCAACGAAATCAGACTTGATCGTTCAAGTCCTAGGCCAAGTCAGTACCACCTAACTAAGGTACCTTCGAGCCTTGATGACTGGGGGGGACCCATTGGCATTCGGCCTTGTCGCAAGGATCCGTCTCCGGGGTCTTCTTTGGAAGCCTCTATGAACCAGACCAACAGACTGCCCACCTAAGCAGTTCCAAGTCAGAGTTGCGAACGCCTATTGTTAGCTAGCCGAACTGTGATTTTCTCTCCCTTCATTGCCATCATTATTACCGAGGGGCTCAACATCGATTCGATCCGAGTGACGGGCTGCTGCTGCTACTACCTACTGGTACGACTGCTGCGTACTGCTGCTGCTGAAACCCCGCATATTCATTCACCCTCCCGTCATCCTTTTCGCTGCTCTCATCAAGACGACGTACCAAAACTCGTTGGGCTTCCTCATTGATTGACCTGACTGGACCAACGACCGCCTTGGCCTCCCGCCCGCGTTCGCCTGCTGCTCTCGACTTCCAAGTTCCGCCATCTTGTCTTAGAAGAGGGCGGTGGCGCTGCCTCTTGTCATCTCGATTCGCGACAAACATTGGCCACCAGCACAGCAGAGGCAGAGAGCCACAGCAAAAGGACGGAACCAAGGGCTCTTAACGCGCCCCCCGTCTCTCTACCTTACCTTCTTGGTGGTTTCTCCGCTCCGCCGTCATCCGTTCTCTCCTTATCACGTCTGCCCTTTTCTGTTGCTACCCTCTTCCAAAGTTCCAACCCATTTCCAGACTCCCCCTACCCCCCAACCAACCCCAGGCCCGTCCCCAACCCCGAGCTGTTAGGCGGACAGTGATTACCTCAGGTCCAGGATAACTGTGAGCCCAAGCTTGCTTGATTGAGCCTGAACCTGAGCCGGAGCCAGAAAAAGCCAGACTGCAACAGTCCAACCACCCCCGGACGCACGACATCCATCCTCTTCATCTGGACTGTGTCAAACAATTCTAAAACAGGGCGGATTAATCTACCCAGCCTACCCCGACCGATCTACTCCCCGCGCCCTGCTCGTCCCCTCGTCGCAACCGCATAGCATCCTCAGACAGCTCGGACGCCAGAATTGGGTTTCACATTCGAGAAGAGCTTCTCAAATAACCATAATCGTGGTTCGGAAGAGCACAGCGCATGATACAGCCGTGAACGGCTCGATCCCTTTCCACCGCAACATCCCCTGCTTTAACGGACGACAACCACCGTCACACAGCATCGCACTGTCAGTCAAAGTGGGAAACTGACCATCGCGCATCCAATCTTCCCAGGTAAGCCCTTCAAGTCATATTGTCTACTCTGGCTGGTCGGGTACGCCACGAATCGAGACGTATTTGTAAGGACAAGACCCCCGCTATAGCCTTGGTGTTTACCCCTTTCACATGACGACATGAATTGCTGCGCTTCTTAGGCCCTTTCTCTCTTCGTTGCAATGGTTCTAGAACGACATAATGACTGACCTAGGAAATTTAGCAGCTTATCGCTCTCCGCCGAACCAGTCATCGTCTCCGGCACGCAAACAGTCTGTGGGCGAGCTTCACGAGAGGGCAGCGATGGCTTCCTCGTTGTCGCCTGACCAGTACGGGAAACAGCCGTCGCAGGGTCAGTATGGTGGCGGCGGCTCTGGCTCCGACCAGGAGCGGGGCCCCCTGAGCTCCTTGAATTTGGGCTTTCTCAAGTCCCTGACAGAAAAGAGGACAACGCGAGGTAGGAACGACCATATATCCGTGCCAGAAGGGACACTGTTCTGATAATGCGTATTCGTAGACGGCCAAACACCCAAAAGGAGAGGACCGAAGCCCGACAGTAAACCTGCTCTAACTCGGCGACAAGAATTGAACAGACAGGCACAACGGTGAGTGACGAACAATTTCGCTGGAGAATCAAGCGAAACGATCGGGGTACTGACGGTGGAGATGACAGTACGCATCGTGAAAGAAAAGAGTTGTACATCAAGGCTTTGGAAGATGAGGTCCTTCGATTGAAAGAAATCTTTAGCAACATATCGCAAGACAAGGACAAGGTGGCCGAGGAGAACAGGCAACTCAAGCAGCTCCTGGTCCAGAACGGAATCCCTCTTTCTCACTATGGTGACGATATGGTCAGCAACCCTAGCGGAGGCTACACATCGAGCGCCAGCCAGTCGGGCCACAGCTACGGCCAGAACGCCTACACGCCACCTTTGACGTCGACGACAGCGCCGTCGGTGTCGCCTTCGTCTCACGGTCCGTCTTACCCCCACGGTCTGCCCCCTCCCCTTCCCCAGATGGGCAGCCAGCAACTGCAACAAAACAGACAAGGGCAGAGCTCTGGTAGAGGTGTGGACTTTGAGCAAGCGGGCATTGACTTCGTCTTAACGTACGATAACCACCATCCCTCGCCCTCGAAGGCATACCTATCACCTCCCCCGCAGTGAAAAGTACTTGTCATATCACCAAGTCCTGGACATCATCGGGAGTCGGGTGGTGTGAGCGATGATTGCAACGAACGGAAGAAGAGCTTGCTGACGAGTGCGATTTTATCGAGGGTATGTAACAGTCTCGAGAAACCCTGCATGAATCACATGCCTTGGCTGTTGGAGAGATCAAGCGAGATGGGCGGCGAGCCCTGCGGACACGCGCTGATGGCCTCATGCCCCCCGGCGCCCTTCCCGGAGCTTACACCTGACATTCCGTTCGGGTACAGCAATGTCAACGGAGACCTGGACTCCCAGCAAAGGACGTGGGAAGTGAGCAAAGGCAGCCTCTCGGCCTTGCTTGATCTCAGCAAGAAATTGAACCTCGATGGGGAGGTCACGCCGGTTATGGCTTGGGGCATGGTCTTAGGCCACCCCAGGGCTCACGAGCTTCGTGCCGAGGACTTCCAGAAGCTCACTGACGAGCTCAAGGACAAGGTCCGATGCTACGGGTACGTATATATGCTGCTCTTCACATCTCATGTGGCTCAAACTGATCGTGACTTAGTTTTGGTGCCGTAATGGAGGAATTCGAGGTCCGTGACGCACTGGAGAACGTCTTCTGCTCCGGACCGGAAATGATGAACTACGCCTACTAGGAGCGTCTGGCATGAACTCGGGTAACGAGATGGGGGCACCTCATCAGGAGATTCAGTGAATCTCTGAATGCATGACTTGGTGTGAGAAGAGGCCCAAACTAGAAACATTTGGAGCGTATTCTGGGAATCTTGGGGGATTACTTTTGATACCACGGCCTTAATGATATGTACATTTTTCTAAAGCCTTAAAAGAATATCGTGAAAGCATGAGCTTTGAACCAGGCTATGAGATGTATTAAGCGACGACTTGTGTATTGTGAGCAGACCAGGCGTAAGGTGGTGGTGTTCCGCGGCCACGATGCAGCTGGTCGTGGCTGGCAGTGGCCCCGCGTCGCGTGGAAACGAGTGGCTGTCAGTCGCCACCAGGTGTCGAAACACAAGACTTTGAAATTTTGCCCGCTCTGCCCCACAAAGTTCACCCCACCAAATCCGAACGACGAAAATCAACGGCGAGAGGAGGTGTGCACCACCCAAACCCTTGACGACTTTTCCATCTTTCAGAAGCCCGAAAGCGCTGCTGCCACCCCCCTTTCCCCCTACCGAAAGACGCACAGCTAGACCGATTTCGATTTCGACTTCGACCTCAATAGCCAAGGAAGAAAAACCATTTTCATCATGGCTCAGGAAATGGACTGGGTCAAGCTCGTCGAGACTTGCCCGGCCGGCGATGGTTGGGGCCCGCCCGTCACCACCGAGACTACCTTGAACGGTGTCCCCTATGCGCCCTTCTCCAAGGGCGACAAGCTTGGTCGCATGGCCGACTGGACCTCCGAGGGCAAGGACAGAGACGGACGTGGTGGCAGACAGCAGTACAACCGTAACTACCGTGGTAAGCGTCACCTTCCTCCTCTAGCTTCAGCTACGAAACCCTCCACGAAGACGACATCGTCGCTAACTCTCTCGCTTCCTTTCAAGACCAACAAGTCTACGGTGCCGGCCACGCCATCTCCTTCAACGCCCCTCCCGCCGAGGACGAGTCCACCTTTTCCGTCGTCAGCAACACCCGCGACAGCACCAAGACAAGATTCGGCCGTGGCGCCGTCTTCACCCGCGGCCGCGGCCAGCGTGGAGGTCCCGCTCAGACCGCTCGCGGTGGCCGGACGACCGTCGCTCGTGGTGGCCAGCAGGGCGGCCGCGGAGGCTACGGAGGGGGCTTTGAACGGGGCGGAAGAGGCGGTGGCCGTGGTGGCCGCCGCTTCGGCTGGAAGGACTACGACAAGCCTGCCCGCAACCGTGACGCCAGTGTCAACATCAAGGCCGACTGGAAGCTGCTCGAGGAGATTGATTACAACCGCCTCGCCAAGCTCAACCTGGACGCCGACGAGGGTGAGGAAATTGACGCCTACGGCTTCGTCTACAACTACGACCGTTCCTACGACAAGCCCGCCGTCAAGGGCTTTGAGCGCAAGCTCAACGCCATTGACCGCGCTGCGTACAATGTCACGACTTCTTCCGATCCTGTGATCCAGGAGCTCGCCGACAAGGACGAGGCCTCCATCTTCGCCACCGACAGCATTCTCTCCATGCTCATGTGCTCCCCGCGGTCCGTCTACCCCTGGGACATTGTCATCTCCGTGCAGGGCAACAAGGTCTTCTTCGACAAGCGCGATAACGCCGCGCTCGACATGGTCACCGTCAACGAGAACGCCGCCGACTCCCCCATGGACGCCTCGGACGGCTCCAAGGACAGCCTCAACATGCCCGGCGCCCTGGCCGAGGAGGCCACCTACATCAACCACAACTTTGCCAACCAGGTCGTCGTCGAGAGCGAGGGCCAGAAGCTCGAGATGGCCAACGCCAACCCCTTCTACAACGCCTCCGAGGACACGGACCCGCCGGCCAGCAAGGCCTACAAGTACCGCAAGTTCGACCTCTCCACCAACAGCGAGGAGGACAACTTCTACCTCGTCGTCCGTACCGAGGTCGACGCCGTCCAGAAGAACGCCATCAGCGGCGACGACCAGCTCGTCACCCTGCACGCGCTCAACGAGTTCGACAACAAGGCCCAGGGCAGCGGTGGCGCCCTCGACTGGCGGACGAAGCTCGTCTCCCAGCGCGGTGCCGTCGTCGCCACGGAGATGAAGAACAACTCTTGCAAGCTCGCCAGGTGGACGGTGCAGAGCATCCTCGCCCGTGCCGACGTCATGAAGCTTGGGTACGTTTTTTCCTCCATCTCTTCTGAACTGATCGCCTTTAAACCACCGAGCACGATGCTAACACACTTTTTATAGTTTCGTCTCTCGCGCCAACCCCAAGTCCAACGACAAGCACGTCATCCTCGGCGTTGTTGGCTGGAAGCCCCGCGACTTCGCCAACCAGATGAACCTGTCTCTGTCCAACGGTTGGGGTATCGTCCGCACCATTGCCGACATGTGTCTCAGACGCGAGCAGGACGGCAAGTACATCCTCGTCAAGGACCCCAACAAGTCCATCCTCCGCCTGTACGAG